ATCTTGACGATGTTTATCTGATGGGTGTTTTTTTGGCAGTGGCTTTGATTCTCACTGGCTTCTCACTGTTGTACTACGGTGCTACTTAACAGCTTTTAGTAATCGTTTTCACACTATTATTTGCAGTGTGATGTGTGGAAATTAGGGGTGTAACGATACGCGTATTCGTATTGAACCATTCGGTACGAGGCTTTCGGTTCGGTACACATTACAAACCGAACGATTCATTGGATTAATCCTATTAGCATACATTTGGAAAATGAAAAAGCTTAAAGTGTGTGAAATATAATGTTCTCAGTGTCCCCGCGCTCAACAAGGTAGCCCAAACGACGTAACAGGCAAAGTGCTGTCTGCCCCGCGATAACCTCCCCTTGTTGGGTTGCGTCGAAAGACGATGATGTAATCGACGATAGCCAGAGATATTGTCAAAAACATCAATTATTGGCAATATTAAGAGGATTTGGCATTTCCAATTAATGTAGGCCTGCTACATTCTTATTTTTATTAGGCCTATTATTATTATTATGAAGTTACTTTTATTATTAAATTAAAATTACAATTAATTTGCCCCACAATAATTAGGCCTACCGCATAACTGACGCGCTGCGAGGACAAGATCAGGCTGTTTACTCCTCAATTAAAATGTTTTTAAAAAGGTCTTTTAAAACAGGTCTATCATAATGAATTATAGTCCCATAATTAAAATATTAACACTGCAGTCATCAATAAAAATCAAGTAAATAAAAATCTTTTATTTCAAGCCCCGACTTTCAAAAACAACCTGTTTAACACGAAATAAGTTTCTTCTCATTTTTTTTCACTATGTACAGGCCACAAGAGAAATATTAAGGGAATAAATGAAGACAGCTATACCGTTATCAGCATATGTTGAAGTAGATTCGTCTCTCGTCGTCTCTGAGAATTTGCGCCGTCAGAAGCCGAAAGCTCCGTCATTCCGCTTTTACTTTCTGCATAGTGAATTGACTGAGATTAAGAAGTTCACCAGCATAACTTGCGCAAATTTGCATGTGTGCAAACGCGTGCTTGTGTGATATCCATTGGCTCGCCTTCATGGTTTAAAACAGAAATATTTCCAACATTGCGACGTAACCAATTACCCCCCGCAATCAAAAACGTACCGAACCATGACACCACTGTGTCGTATCGAACCGAACCATGAATTTTGTGAACCGTTACACCCCTAGTATGTATATGTACACACACATACATATATATTTTATATATATATATATACACACACACACACACACACGCGCGCACACGCACACACGCATGCATATATACACATTTCTAATTGGGATGAGCACAGTTCATCAACTCTACATCAACAGAATAGTTAAGCCAACGCAAGAAAGATCAGAATATCAAACAAGGTGTGTACACTTGTTCGGACAAAAGTTCAGGTCCAGAGTTTTGGATATGTGACACCTGTCCGGACAGTCCAAAGTAACACCGTAAAGCCACACACACTTATCACTGTGGCAGCCTAAATCTAGGTGGACTCCTGTAACTCCTCTTCTCCTAATGGCCAATAGCTGAACAATACCAATATGGTACAAATATATTCATGAAACAGAGAAAAACAGGTCATAGTTCAAATGTAAAATCGACAACACTGGCAGCCAATCTCCAGAGGATTTTTTTTGTTCCCTCATAAAGGCAACTTTTTTTTTTGTCCAATCTTTTAACTGTTCTAGACCACAATCAATTCTGAGAGGTCGAGTAGCCTTTTACGAAAAACCACAGGCTTTTCTTCTCTGTCGTTCAGTAGTTGAACTTCCCTGCCTGGTTGACAGGCGAGCTAGCAGGGATGAACAACGGTTTGGGTGGGACGTCGGGCTTGAGTGAGGCTGTCCGACGGACAATAGCTCCACGGTGGACTTCCAGCTGCTCACTGTAGCTATGCTGGCGAGTTAGGTATCCGTTAGGGATGAGTGGGTGCCATACATCGCAACCCGAACTGCTGCCGTTAGAGTTCATTCGGGAGAGCAGCAGGGGCTGATGGGCGCTACGTTGGTTGAAGCTGTGCTGCCGTGGCACTACGCCCCCACTGGGCATCTTGGGAGTGGTAATCAAAGAGTGGCGTTGAAACTGGTGACGGGACACTCTCTCCACAGTGGATTGATGATGATGAGGAATCTCTGGTGGGACATCCATGCGGCGAGTAAGACTGTCCCGAGGAAGAGTGGAGGAACTATAGTACGGCGCAGACTCCGTTTCTGGGATCTGCGGCTGTACGCGGTTTGCAAACGCCATCTGACCAGCGTTGGCTGACATGGACGAGGTGAGGACAGTGGGACTCTTGCCCGTAGCCACATTAATTTCGTGAATGTGTTGCAGAAGCTCATCAAGCGAGGTGACATCCACAATCTTGTGCGGGTAGCAGTGATACGGCTGGCTTGCCACACGCTCCGCATTGTAGACTTTGCGTTCCTCCATGTGTGCTGAGGTACCTAGTACTTGTCCGCTGGTCAGTCCTTGGGAGAAGGGGAAAATCTGATGCTGCATCCCAGTGGTCGGCCGAGATGCTCCCATGTTATGGGACTTGGGTTCTTTAGCGTTATTGCAGTTTTGATTCTTCTCCCATTGGTTCTTGAAGGCCTTCATACTCTTGATCGGGAGCTCTGGTGTCGAATCAGGCGTCGGAAGGCCAGAGAGCTCTGTGGAGTGGTGATGATGTGGGTGAATGAGTTCTGTCATGGCAGCATGATGGCCATTCCTGCGATGCGCCTGCTCTTTTCCATTCGCAAAGAAAGAGTTATAGAGTTTGGGGGAGGATACCTCCAGCTTCTCGTCCTTGTTTTGGCTCTCCAGCAAGCCATTTAGCTTGGCCAGGCTGCGCAAGGATAGAGCATGCGGGATTGGTGCTTCTAGATCTTTCGACAGCCTTTTGGTCTTGTTCACGTTGTGGTTGCAGTAACAGGAAACGAGGAATCCGGAGAGGAAAGCTCCCAGGACAAACGCCACCAGGACACACGCAATGAGCAGAGTGTAGTGAACACTGTGGTTGGACTTATCTACCTCAGGGGGTTGGCGCACTCCTGCAGAGAGGGGAAGAGAGCAAGATGAGTGCACTGTAAAGACACAGTGAGGTGCCAGTTAGGTTAGCTTTTATCAGAGTGAGTCTGCAGAGTTCTTAGTAGACTTCTATGCATTTTAGAAACTGCTGACAAACAAAGCAGAGCGCTGGCTGAGCGGGCCGTTCTGAATCAATCTGCAAATGCTCATTGGTTCAACATCAAATAACTCTAGAGCCTCAAGAACAATTGCTAATGGTCTTGTAGGGAGCTAAAGTGGTTCTCTCATTAGCCACAGTCTCAAGAGCAGCAGTGCTATGTGCTTGACTCACAGCTGATTGTGCTGTTCTACATTGAGCTGCATATGGCGTTAAGGTGGTGCGAAAATGATATGGAGATGTTTTCAGTGACTGCAAATTAAAATAAATGCACAGACCATCTTACGGTCTTAATGAGCTGAGGGTAGAGGTGATTTCAGTAACATGTGCACGCTCAGATAATTAGTAACTCCCACTGCCATCTGCGCAGTCAGCCTTTCCTTGTTTTTCTCATTTTTCTGTTCTTCTTTGTTTCTAAGAGAGCCAGTAAATGGAAAAATCTGCTGTTAAGAGGTATTTTACATTGAGAGTATTTTACAAAAAGGTATTAAAAAGTGTCAGCTAAGAACTGAAATGTTATGTCTTGATTCATTTTAATACAACATCAAAGAGCCTTTGAAATTACTTGATGAGCACAGATTCCTTTACAGTGTTGATGTATTACTTATCAAAACTGAAAATTTAGGCAGCACATTTAAAATGGCTTGTCCTAGTTTTGTAAACGCAACCAATCTTTTTATACACATCACAGCCATGAAAGTGACGAGAAGTGAAAGAAAGCAAGACATATGCACAGATGGATATGAAGATTAAAATGAACAAATAGTAAATATATAAAAGCTAGATAACTAAGAAAGCTAGTAAAACTAGATTAAAAAACGCTAAATAAACGCTGCTTGCTAATTGTAACTTGCTAATCAAAGCTAGGGCAACATTTGTTGCAGACTGCAGAGGTGCAAAACTAAAGATAGATGTTACAAGCAAGATGTTATTAGTTGCTTAAGACTTTTGGCAAGGCCAACGAAGTCTTACTGATGCTCACGTCAGCGAACAGCAATGGCAAACCCAACACAGTGTAAGAACAGAGTGGGTGGACCACCGTTAGCGAGTTATCGAGTTAGGGAGAGAGCGAGAGAGAGGCGCTATATTGTGCTTTTTCTAGCTGCTGCAAGCAAAAAATACAACTATGAATGCATAATAACTCTATGTGAGAAAAACAAGGATAATCTTCCTTCAGGCATCAACACAAACACATTAGCAGGACAGCAACTGTGCTAAGCTAGCTACAACAGGAGGAAAGCTTCCCGCCAAACTCAATTCTCTCCTGTAAAAATGTTTCTACTTAACGGTTTATAGATGCAAACCAGAATGAGTTATAGCGAAGATAACTTCTAAAAGAGTAGCCTAGTGTGCATACTTCTCCTGGTCTCACAGAATAGTTATTGGAAGCATGTAACGGTTTTGTTGTTGTTGTTTTAATAAGATGGAGTTTCTGAGGCATCATAACTGACATGTTTAATGTTTACATACAACTGAATAAAACTTCTAATAGACCTGTCAGAGTTTGCCTCATTTTCTTGTAAGCTATAACAGACTTGTGTGCAAATTTACTGGAAGATGTTATGTTATGTTATGAATAATAGAAGGAACCTTTATCTTTCTCTGACTCATTCGTCTGCTTTCTGCTGGTCTATAAACTGTCTTTGGCCCCTGGGAAGCACCGAGGGCAGGCATATGCTACGTGATGGGTGACTCACAAACACACGTTTAGTGTCACAACAGGTTTGCAGTCCTCTTTCATTTTTTGTACAGTACACTAGTACAAACACAAGGACAAATACTTCCAAAGGTAATTTTTGAAAGCACAAATTAGATATCAAATCTTAATATTAATTTATCAGTACCAAAATAAAATACAAGGCTGAATGCATGCTAACACTTTATAACAATGCAGTTTATTCAAGCTAACAATAGTTAGAGTTTTAGTAGAGTTTTCACTGACACACAAACTGAAAATAAATGAACTTTAAACATATATCTAGTTGGCTTTGTAACTGGGTCAGTTATTTTCAGGGCCATGCAAACAAGATGATCATCAGTAAAAAAAAAAAAAAAACGACATTAGAGAAATAAAAACAAATTATGAACAAATGAAAGAAAATAAAACAAAAAAACTAAAGTATATATTTAAAAATTACAAAGTACATAGTAAAAGTAAAAAAAAATACAATTAATAATAATAATAATAATAAAGAATGAAAATGAACATGGTAGTACTGAAAGTATGAGAGTGGGTGGGGAAGAGAGGAGAGGGAGGTGCTTTCACTTTCTCCTGGCTGTGCAAGGGATTGTATAGGCCTCTGTCAAAAATCCAATAACTCCTCAATGACTCAAAGAAAGAGAGAATGAGCATGAAGAGGAGAGAAAAGGGATAGAGAGAACTGAAGAAGATGACTACTGTAAAAAAAAAAGGAGAATGACAGATTTATTGAGAAAGGAGAGGAGAGAAAAAAATGAATGGTACTGAGTAAGAGAGTGGGTGAGAAGAAAAGAGGTTGATAGAGTGAAGTGGTGGGGAGAAATGAGTGACAGATTTTCAGTGGTGAAAACTAAGTCTTTCAATCTTCCTTTCGGCTGTGTGAGAGATTGTGTAGGCCTCTGTCAAAACCCTAGTAACTCCTTCGCAAAGAACTGGAGAGTGGGAGAAAGAAGTGCTGGAGACATCCATAAAAAGCTGGAGGGCAAAAAAAGTGTGTTTAATTGAAAGCAGACCTGTTAGCAATCTCTCAAAGCTCTGCTAAAAAATAAGCGTGTAAATACTATAGGGCTGCCAAAGTTAACATGTTCATTTAAGATTACAGAAATGGTGTAAAATTTGGTTATCACCATTTATATAAGAATGACATTAAAACTGCTGCTGTTTTGGCCTCAGCTGAAACTGTTTGAACCTTTGCAAGAGCAGCAGCATAAGTCTCCATGTTCAGAACACACGTAATCTCAGTCAGGCTATTGTTTATCTGTAAAATATGGAGAAACTAGCTGGCCAAAGGGATTTTTAATGGCAAATTTATATATAATTTACTTTTAGATGGGACTTTTATCAAAAGTCATTAGGATGGCAGAATTTTATTATTAGTGAAGCTCAACAAGTGTGAAATATCACCTATGAGTATAACATCATTAAATGCACTGCTGTGGGCTAATGGTAAAATCATGAGAAATATAATTTTTTTTTTTGTACTCCATAAAGGGATACTTCACCCAAATATGAGAATTCTGTCATCATTTATTCACCCTTATGTTGCTCCAAACCTATATGACATTTTTCTGTGGAACATCAAAGGTATCTTGAAGAATGTTTTGTCCAACAAATTTATACAGGTAAACAACGAAAGAATTTGAATGTTTGGGTGAACTATCCTTTTAACATGTTCACACACAAACCCTTGTTTCTTTAAATGCTTTGTTGGTGTCTATCCTTTTCTCTCGCTCTCTGTGTGTGGCTGATTGCCTGTGAAAGGCTCGGGAATGGAACTTTTTATGCACCATAAATTTGATATCACTGAATAGATCAGGCCCATTTGGTGATAGTGGGATACTAGGAGTCACAGAGCTTCAAGGGCTATTGTTGTTCAGTTTATGCTCTTTATCTCAGAACAAAGGTGAGAAGAAAACAGCCTTTTTCTGGGAGACTATATCTATGCAGGTCTTAAGGTTCTCTGTTTTCAGTTTTGAAAACAGTTTTTCAGGGCATTCAATAGTCTCTCTTCTTGATTACCCAATTACCTCTAGTGTTTTTGCACTGATGTGAAAGCAGCAATGCTGTCATAAATAATTTTTCCCGGGCTGCATGTGGAATAAGCAGGACATACCGAAATCCCAAAGCTGGGAAGAGTGCAGTTCTTTTAATCACGCAGATGTTTTTTTTTTTGCTTTTGCTCAAGTAACTGATATTACTTTTTCAAAACAACAGGATCTTTAGTAGTAGCACTAGTTGTGTAGTTCAGGGGATTAAACATTTTAAATTTTAAAAAGCTTCAACTTGAATTTGTATACCATCAAGAATATGGGAAAAAAATCAGCCTTCAGAACTAGAAATGAATGTCTGTGGGGTCTCAGCTGAAAGGCTTTTACAAATTCACTGCTGAACAATTTTGCATTGTCTGTAGAACTTTCCAGACGGCTTTATTGAGGGCCATGAGAAGTTGAAATCAAGCCCTTTTGTATCTAGTTCAATCCAAGTAAATGCCAAAAATGGGAGCAAATTAATTCAGGCAAAAAGTGACTGACATCATCTAATCTCCACACAGAAGTGCAAAATTCACTGGAAAATTAAACACGGATGAGTATTACTTTACCTCATGGTGGAATATATTTGACAATATGAGCAGGTACACAGAGAACAGCAAACAGAAGTAAATAATTGAGCACATCTGAAATCCGTGAATGCAGGAAATGAGAATATATTCTGTCTGAATAGATTTGCATTTTCAGCTCAGCGTTCTTGTCCCCTAAATGCTTTATTTGATAGATTCTGCAGAAGATTTTATGAAGTCATTTTTCTGGCAGGTAAATGATTTGACAGGAATTGACATGGAAATAGTATTATTAACACTTTAATACATTAGCATCCTTCATAAAGTATATTAATTATATATATATATCTATCAATTAAGTCCTTTTCACATAATTGGCATCAGGGCTTGATCTCAACAGAAGCGCATGTGCCGTTTTTTACTTTCATGTGAAAACAATGTGGATACTGTCATGGAGGAGAGACTTCTAGCAAGAAAAACATTATTATATGGTTTATTATATATGGTTTATTAAATATTTAAACCATATATTGTTAGCAAATGAACAGGTTAACATGCATTTGAGCTTAAAACAAAAAAGTCCAAGCAATTGTTTTGATTTGGTGTTACT